AATTAATTAATAGAACAAATAACTTGCTTGTAAATAAACTTTAAAATCAAAATTAAAAATAAATAAATCTAATGAGTGAAAATAGGTTTCATGAATGTTACATGGTACAACACTGCTCACAGTGATCATGTTGTTTTGGATTGATATTGACCAGCAGGCTGGGTAATAAGCACAGCCATCACGATCCTTAAAAAAGGCTCAAAATCTGATTTAAAAAACTACAAACCAATCCCTTCAACATCTGTACTTTGCAAGGCAATGAATTTAAGTGACAATCTTTTCTCTAGAAAGCAGTTCTGATTCTTTCAAGGCAGACCTACTGTTACACAACAACCAAATATTTTAATTATTTATTCTATTTTAATTATTTATTCTTAAAAATTGACTACACCATACTGGCAAGAAGCTTTGCCGGCCTCGCAATTTCATTCTATTCCATTCTAAAATTATTTTTTTATTACATTCACCAGGTCAGCAGACAGACAGAAACGTCGATGGAGCACGGGTAATATTTCAGTAGCAGCTGGAAAATTATCCACAAACTAAATTTTATTCGTTAGGTGAACTAGGATTGAAGTATACGTAGCATGTTGCGCTGTTTAACATGTTGTTGTTGTTGTTGTTGTTGTTGTTTGTCTTAGAAAAACCGATATTGATTTATTTCTAGTCTAGCTGCATTTGTAAATTTAAATTTCACCATTTAAATTTTTGTTATCATCTTCACCATCGTCTCGGTCATCATCACACATCATCAACAGCAGCATCGTTATTTTTGAATTAAACTTTTAATAAAAAACTAACTAAAGGTTATCGATGCAAACTGTACTACTACTACTACTGCTGCTACTACTGCTTCAGCTACTACTACTTTATACTTCTACTGCAACTACTGCTGCTGCTGCTTCTACAAAATACTACGACCACACACAGGACAATGACGACACACAGCTTCTAATCTACGCGCTGTTTAATCTACAATGCCATCATCATCCAAGTCACCTTGCAGTAATTTCAATTTTCATCTCAACAACAAAGAAACACCTTTAGGCTTCTTTCTCTCTCTGTATAAATGTATGTATGTGTGTGTGTGTGTCTGTGTGTGTACGTGTGTCTGTGTGTATGCCTGCGACATTTTTCACAATAAAATATTAATATCTTGTGTTTGGTGAAGATGGTTGTAAGTGCTAAATAAAAAAAAGAAATTTAACAGGGCTATACAGGTGGTACATATGCGTTCTAGATAAATTATTATATATTTATTAGTGTTTTTGTTGATGACGACGATGATGATGGTGATGATGGTGGAATGAATGAATAAATGAAAGAATGAATGAATGAAAAAAACATTAACAGCATGGCATTTAGCGTCAGCAAGAAAACTGCAATTCAATACGATGGAAAGTAAACTAAACACTAATTCATCGAACAAATTATTTTTAATCTTTGGTAGCGTAAAGCAAACGGAAGTCAAACACTCGCTGTTTAGTTTCCGTTTCCGGTAGTGCTATTAAGATTGTTTTTTCCTTTTCTTTGTTGTCGTCATCATCTTCTTTTTTTTTATATTTTTAGCAAGTAAGATGCCAATTTTGTTTTTGTATGATTCATATATGTATGCCCTTGCAAAATTATTAATATTAACATCATCGTCATCACCATCATCATCATCATAGTTTAAACGATCATCATCATCGTCATCATCATCGTCATCACCATACGTGTAGTCTCTTCAAAAAACATCACAACGCAATGCCAATTATGCTGATTATTTTTTCCACATCATCATCATCGTCGTCGTCATCTTCAACATCGTCATCATTCTATATCTCTCTTTTATTTTTCTTTCTTTTGGTCTTTCTCTCTATCAGTTTTTTGTTCTTTATAATTTTCTCTCAGTATGCTGGTTTTTTTCAAAATCTGTTTCGCTCATTTTATTCTGCTCTCTCCCCCCCTCTCTCTCTCTTTCATGTATATATATATATACCCTTGTAGGTATTTGTGTATTTATATAATGAATGTATACATGTTTCGTATTTAAATGTATGAGCGTATTAGGACAATCTGCTCAAATGTCTCTTAATCCTTTCTTAAACGAGCAATAGACAAAGTGATTCTTAATTCATCCTAAATGGATTCTCTCTCTCTTCTTTCTCCCTCTCTCACTCTCTCTCTCTCTCTCTCTCTCTCTCTCTCTCTCTCTCTGTCTCTCTCTTTTCATTATTTTTTCGTTCTTTTTTATTCTTTTCTATCTCTCTCACATCTTTCTTTCTCTCACTTCTCCATGCGTTCTATATTCATAACTTTATTTTCATCGTTCCTTACCTTGCACGTTGTTACCTTCTTCTCTGCGTCTGACAGAGTTTAAGCGATGGAAATAAAATTATGATTATGGAACACATGAAATTTACAGAACACAAAAAATTCATCCGATATACGGTTTGTCTTTTTGCAATTTCAAAAAGCTGGTCATAATTTTGAGCTAGAATTCGCCTCAGATTTTATATCAGCTACACGTGGGGTGCTTTTTTCCATCCAGAAGTATCCATCATTATATTAAGAGGTATGTGTTATCACATTATGGCGTATTTATCGTATCACGCGATATTTATCTTGCAATACTCCCATACCATGGATGACATTTCAGTGATGAATCTTATCAGATTAAAGTAATAAATTTATTATTAATAAATATTCATATGTAAAAATTAATGTTCAAAAATGTCAATAAATAGTCATGGCTCCTCCCACATTAAAAATTAATATTCATACATCAATAGTCCCCAAACAAATTTCACCTATGAAGAACCGGGTGAGCGTAAAAATATCTGAACGCCTCTTGATTGACACTCAGTTTCGTGACTGGCATCAAACGAGTGGCCCCACTTGTTAGGATATTTTTGGAAACCGGTTGTTCCAAAATGGTGGCTGGATAAACGGAAGTAGTGCTGTTCACGTGGTTGGTGTTTTCCAGTTCGGATGCGATTTGACGTTTCCACTTGTTTCTGCGATTTTGGAACCAAATTTTGACTTGGGTCTCTGTGAGTCGTAGTGTGGTAGCGAGGCCGGCACGCTCACTGCTCGACAAGTAGCGTTTCAAATCAAAGATGGATTCCAGTTGAAAGACCTGGCAGTTGAGTTGAGGGGGATGTTTGTTGTTGATGTTGTTGTTGATGGCTGTGAGTTGAGTGAAGATGTTTGTTGTTGATGTTGTTGTTGATGGCTGTGAGTTGAGTGAAGATGTTTGTTGTTGATGTTGTTGTTGATGGCTGTGAGTTGGGTGAAGATGTTTGTTGTTGATGTTGTTGTTGATGGCTGTGAGTTGGGTGAAGATGTTTGTTGTTGATGTTGTTGTTGATGGCTGTGAGTTGGGTGAAGATGTTTGTTGTCGATGTTGTTGATTTGTTTGTTAGATGCATGAAATTCACCATTCTTGTCAGTGTAATTCTATTGTCGACATGCTATAAATGAGATTGTAATCTCATCTCTCAATCAATAAACACCTCGTCTAGGAACAAAATTTCGCTGATGTCAAACTTGATGTTCAACGTGAAAGTTCTACGTGACCTTATTGAAATCAACATAACCTAACCCAAATCAACTAAAAATTTTCGGCATGACCTGATTTCGAGAGAAGACCGTCCTAGTTTTCTTCTTCCTGTTTCTGACGTCATCAGCAGTGCTGGTCGCCATGGTGATGCTGTTGTCGTCCGTGACTAGGGAGGCTAACCTTGAGGAAGAGGAAGAGGATGATCGAGATGATGACGGCTTTATCATTACGCGATCCTCATCGTCTTCATCGTCATCGTCTTCACAGTCATCATCTGTTTCAGTTTCGTTGTGACCATCATCATCGTAGTCGTCATTATCGATTTCAATGTCTTGTTTATTAAGGTTGTTGTATTTGTTGAGGTTGTTGTTTATATTTTTTGTAGGGATACTTGTTGCGAACTCTTCTCTAAGTTGATTTTCCATTGTGGATATGCTGAAAAGTTGACTGGCGTTTGTGTTGTTGTTGTTGACGTTGTTGGATATATTGTTGTAAAACGAACTGTAGAAACTGCTGCCAATATTGTTGACAACATTTTTATTGAAAATCATGCCACTGTTGTTGTTGCTGTTGTTGTTGATGATGTTGTTGTTATTGTTGTTGTTGATGATGTTGTTGTTGTTGATGTTGTTGTTGTATTCAATGAAGGGGTTGTAAAAATAGTTTGAGTTGTGATTAATAGTAGTAAAATGTTTTGAATACATTGTTGTTGACGGTGTTGTTGTTGCTGCTGTCAAAAAGGTCGAGCTGCTAAGGAAGTTGTCGGCGGTTAAAAATTTGTTGAATGGATACAAAAAGAACATGGGTTGTTTATAGTTTATGTTATTAGTGTTGATGGTGTTGCTGTTGTTGTTGATGTTGCTGTTGTTGCTGTTGTTGTTGTTGCTGTTGTTGATGTTGATGTTGTTTTTGATGCGGTTGTTGAAGCTATTGTTGATGCTGTTGTTGATGTTGTTGTTGTTTTGGTCGATTTTGTAATAACACAAAATGTTGTCTTCGTTACTGCTTCTGATAAAGTTATTGCTGTTGTTAGCCTTGTTGATGTTAGCACACTTGATGTTATTATTTTCATAGAGACACCGCAACAACATTTGTTGATGCCACGTAGAAAGGTGATGCTGACAGCAATCAGCATTATCAGTTGTGGATGTTTTCTCTGGCTCGTTTGTATCAAATGATAGTA